TTTCGTTAAGGGAATTATGCCGTCTGGATACACTTTGCTAGCCCGTAGTTCTGTAACCTGGGACTCCGTCTTACCCCCAGTTAGTTACATAAAATGCTAATAATAACCCCGGGGTGAACTCCATCGTATGTGGTTAGTTATCTCTAACCAGTGAGATGCACTTACGGTACTGTACCCCTAGTAAGAGGTAAGGTGGTGAGAGTATACTGACAGTAAATCCCATTAAAACGACAATTCTGAGAAAAGAAGCAATGAAACTGTTGTACATGTTAATTGGTGTATAGTAACATACATAAGCCTGGGATACGAGTCGTTGTATCTGATCCATACCCATGCGACAATCGATTGCTCACATAAACCTGGGACTCCGTCCTACCCCCAGTGAGTGCATACAATGGTACTATGACAGTGAACAGTAATTACGTACCGGGTAGTACGGAAATAATAATCGGGTATTTCCCAGGATCGTCCAAAATTTATCACGATCGTCCAAGTCGGGTATTTGGGAAATATTTTTATTCCTATTCATCCAACTTGCTTTGATTGGCAAAAAGCATTTGAGTAAAACGAACTTGGTTACTTAAAACGCATGGCGTCTTATTTATTGTTAGCAAGCCCACTGCCGATTAACAATATAAGGATAGGAACGTACACTGTACCTACTGAAATTGTACCGTACAGTGTACCAATACACTTTACCTACTGAAAACAATACACATTTGTACACCGTTCGAAACCCCGACGCCATTATGTACACAAATGAAACAGATAAAGCACTTGTAGTACTACTTAACGGAGGAGATTATAGTGAAACGTTATCTCTGATGATGTTGCGACTATTTGAGCAGTTCGCTCCAACACACGCGTTACAGCATACAGGGGTCCTCAGGAGTACTGCACATGTACTGCGTAACGGTAGTATAAAATTATGTCGTCATATACAAGTATAATACTCGATGCAAGTGATCACCACCATTATTGCTACTACGTAGTGCTATTATAGTACTGTATGTGACTTCCATCTTTGATGGTTTGGCTCGCTACCGCGGATCGTTGAGTCTTACTGCTAGTACAACTATTTCCTGCTGGCCCATACTAGTGTACTAAGCTCAGTATACTTCAATACAAGTTATATTATTTAAAATATGTACACTAAATTTTGATGTACAGTACAGTGAGAATGTACCACCCCAACCTCGGTGTACCTACAAAAGTCCAATCCCTACATCCTACTGCCGTTGGTGGAGCCAAGAGGCGCTGGCGTGCAGATGGGCGAAGCGATGAGTTTGATCATAATACATGGATGAGATCATAGTGCTCATGCGTGTGATATCGTTTGCTGTGCTATGTACCAACCATCGACACAGGATTCGTGGCGAATCCTGTGTATCGACCAATGAGGTAAGTCTGCAGTGTCATGTTGGTCAAACTACTTACTCCACAGCTCATGAAACAGATGTATACTGTAGAAAGGTGACAAGAACGATGGCCGCGATAGAACGATGTTCACGAACACGACGTTTGGCGCAATGGAAGCGCGCCTGCTTGCAGGAGACCTGGGTTCGATTCCCAGCGATGTCAACTTCAAATTTACACACGAGATGGTGTTTACCAGTATATGTGATTTGGATATGTACTTTGAACGCTGTTTATGGTTGCATGTGTTGCATTAAGCTTATACCACATTGGTACTTCGAAATATATTATTGATACTAAAACAATTGGTACTTATCTCACTGCTAGACACCACACATATCGTTAATATTTTGCGAATTGTGTGTACCGCATCGGCAGCCGCACTACTGGTACAAGCAATGCCATTTGATGTGACTTCTGGAAGAATGCGCAGAAGATTAATTGGATTTTACTGGATTTTGTACGGACACTGAAGTGTGAACTAGCTCTGAGTACTTAGTCATTAGTGTTAACTTTTTGTGGCAATATTGCTCGTCGGAATAACGATTCATATATTTTGATTAATCCTGCAATGGAAAACGCAAGAATGACGTGGAATAGCCGCAAATACTCTACGACAATTCCGGTCTTCGAATGAATTTCGTATCCTTGAAGCAACCCCGCAGAATAATAGTTGGATTCTACACGTTTTGGCGCTTTCCATTGCGCTATAACGTCGTGTTCTTGAACATCTTTCCGTCGTGGCCATCATTCTTGTCACCTTTATACATCATACCGCTAAGTCATCAGCTGTAGAGTAGTTTGACCAACAAGGCGCTGCGGACTTACCACATCGGTCGACGCACAGGATTCGTGGCGGGTCAGCAGCAGGTCCGCGGCAGGACGACGGTTGGTAAACAGCAGCACAGCTAGCGTTATGACACACATGTGCACTATGATCTTAACTAAGTATTATGATCAAACTCACCGCCGCGCCCATGGTCTTGCCAGCGCCTCTTGGCGCCACCATCCGCAGTCGGCCTTGCAAAGTACTTCAAGTAACCAGGTCGTTTTACTCAAATACTTTTAGCCAATCAAAGCAAGTTGGAATAAAAATATATCCCAAATACCCGACTTGGACGATCGTGACAAATTTCGGACATTGTTGGACGATCCTGGGAAATACCCCAGTAAGAGGTGAGGTGGTTAGAGTATATAAATCAACAATTTCTGAGAAAAGTAACAGTGGAAATGTTTTATCAGGGATACCTGTCAAGAGGAAATGAGGTGGATGCCAGAGGCATGTGGAAAAGGGAAAAAAAGAGAACAGAGGTCGAGGAAGGTAACCTCGGGGCCCAATCAGGGACGCTAGGCCAAGCGTCCCGGTCATAATGAACACAAAGAGGAAGACGTGGGCTCACAAGAAGGAACAAGAAGTGAGCAGATAGGCAACCAAGAAGTGGCTTATGCATGCCTGTGATTGGTGGAGAAGCTACTGGTGCCAGAAGCAGGAGGGGCGCAGGACGGGAGACACATGACCCAGCGGACTGGTGACATTTCCATAGCCTCAGATACCAGTCATTGTATCTGTCTGATCCATACCCATGGGACAATCGATGTCTGACACTACAGACTGTAGTACTTGAAGTATATACCGTAAGTAAAGACCTACAGTACTGTAAATGATCAATGCTTGCCCTCGGATTGACCCACCAAGTTCGCCACTGGTGATTGGTAAACTACTACTATACCGTGGTGTCCATCCCACCATACTACTTACTACAGTAGTACGATTAATAGTACATAGTACTTCGAAGGACTACTCTGGAAGAAAATATATAGGAAGGTATATAATGGTGCATAGTTTTATCTAAAATCGACCAAACTGTCTGGATTCGATACGAATAGACCAATCAACACAAGGCGAATCCAATGCGACAATCTATTCGTGGAAAAAGTAAGCAGGAAGCGCTACCAAGCCTCAAGATCAAGCCCACATACTTTATTCCATATCACATGATCTGATTCC